AAACGGGGGTTGGAAAATCTGGGGACTGGCGAGGGGAGAGGGGGAGGATAGAAGAGCAAAGATAGCGTGGCGTGGGGGTTACTCACACATCAGGAGAAGACGGGACTCCTCTCCTCTGCAGTCCGCCAGTAGTTTAGCATCTTCAGGAAAAGAGGGAGAGCAAGGTAAAAGGAGGCGCCGCTTCCGGGGAGGGGGGTGCTCTGCTTTCTGTTGGTTGATTCAATTTGGCTGGGGGCGGAGGGGGTGAGCAGAAATAAGATATCTGGCAGGCAGTAGGAGAGGAAGAGGAGGGTTGGAGCGCCGGGAAGCTGAGCCGAATCCGACCCTGGGTGCGCTTGCGTAGGATGATAGGGGAGCCCGCCGCCGGGTTGGCAGGCTGCGGGATCAGCCAAGCCTAGGTGCGCGCTTCCAATCCGGTGGCAGTGGTAGCAGTGCGCCTAGCAGTTTGAATTTGAGAGGCTTTGCAGGCTCCCTGGGACAGGGCTAGGGTGACGTCACGGGGGGAGGGGGCAAGGGGATGGATCGAGAACGCGCTCTGGGGGAGGGAGGGGCAAATGCTTCCCTTCCCAGCTAGTGGTTTTGCAAAGCTCAAACCGGGGTTGCGTCAGTTTATCCTGAACTACTCCACCTCCAACCCGGCGGGCGGCTAGCGGTTAGCGAAGCTCCCGGGGAGGGGCTCGCCAGCAGGGGCACACTAAGGGGCTGGGACTCTCTTAGAGGTTTCCTCCACTTGCCCCTCCCTCATGGCCATTCTAGGGGGTCTCATTCCGGATTGCTAACCAGGGGTCCAGATCCTCTGTCTCAGTCTCTCTCCCCTCCCCCCCTCCCGTTGTGTGTAGATGTGCCTCTTTTGCTACAGGACTGGGGCCCGCCTGCCAGCCTTCTAGCTCAAACGCTTTTGGTGCAAGGGTGGGTGTGTGCATGCAGCAGTGTGTCTGTGTAGGAGGATGAGGAGTTCTCCTATGTACCTATGTACGCTTTACATGCAGAGCTTTGTTTCTGTGCTTAAAGAATTACTTTCTGGGTTGTGACTGGCCAGATATTTGCCTGGATTCAGAAAGCTAGCTCAACATTAGCTTATAGACTGAGATAAACAACAAAACCCTTCTCCTCCTGAGGTTTACACTTAATCAGATAATGAGGTTTAAATGTGTGCTTTTTGCCCAAAGGAAGGACAAGAAGAATGGGTGTCAGAAAGACACTGCCAGGCTGAACCTCAGCTGGGAGTGGGAGCCCCCAGAAGGGTGCCTTAAGCCCTCCAGGCTGCAGGCAGGGGCCAGGGAGCTAGGAGGACAGAAAACAGCAATGCAGGAAGACTGGCTCCTGAGAAAGAGAGGATTGATGATGGAGTCCTGCCTGACATCCAGTAGACCTGGGTTCTGATCTAGCTCTGTTGCAAGGTATGTCACTTATTTCTGAATCTTCCCGTTCCCATTGGCAAAAGGGATGGGCTGTATGGGCCCTTCCAGCTCTGACATTCAATGGAATTCAAATAAGCTTCCCACAGCATTACTAATGGCCAGGTGCTGGGTTTTGCCTTCATTATCTCATTTCTTCTTTGTTATCTTAAGGTCCCCTGAACTCCGGAATCTCCATGTGGAGTCCATTTGCAACATGTGAATGTTTGCTATTGCCAGGAATTGCCAAGGGCTCTCTCTCAAGGGAAAAGAAGGAATGAAAGAGAGTGAAAAAAGGAATTGACCAAGCCATGTGCCTGTCCCACAAAACATTTCCCTGTGTCTTCAGTCCTAGCTTGCTGCAGAGGGAGTCAACACAGGGTGCCATTGCTGGGCCAAATTCCAGAGAGATGATCACATAAGCAAACCAAGCCATCTGAGAAGGGAAAACTCCCCACTTCTCCCCTCCTCCTTTCCTATTAAACTCAGATCCTTGAATTGTTCTCCTCCTTAAGCTCTTCCTCCCCAAGAAGGGCTCCGGACAGTTTATAAACTTAGGCACTAAGGCAACCTGTAGCTCTGTAGTTCTGGCAGTCACCTTGGAAATTTTTCTAGGGCTTTTTTCTTTTCTCCTCCTTTTCCTTAGGGGAAGAGCTTTGAAGCACACATCATAATCTTCCTCCCCATTCTGTAATTCTTACTTGGTTTGGGGCAAGGTCCTTTCCTTCTGGGGTCTCAAATTGCCCTTCTGTATGCCAAAGGGCAACATTGAGAGGAGTTGTCCTCAGACGGGGAGGGGGCCTCACACTATTTCAATTGCATCATTAGATGCAAGCAGAGTGATGCAGTCCGAGCATGATTAAGCATCCTTTCATAACCAAGGGGCATTTGTTTCTACATATTTCCAAATATTAGATATACATAGTTCCTAGAGAGATACGGTGTACTCATTCAGTCGTTCATTTAACAAACATTTATTAATTAGGTTAATATTTCATTGAAGTAGAAGCCAGCATGAGAGCTGGACAAAAATATTTGAAATCAGATTCATTTTATAGATGAGGATATTCCTCAACCAGGGAAAATGCTGACTTGCTTAAAATAGAAGAATCTATAAAATTAGAAACAGAACCCAGGAATTCTAAATCCCAGTCCAGCAGCTTTCTAAAAAGCTCACTACTGCTTAAGGTGAATTTGAGAACTACCTAAACTTAAATACCGGTGGTGGTGTTTTACCCAAATGTGGTCTTTTAAAAAAAATCGTATTTGAAATTGAAATATTAAATATTAGTTTTCGTTCTCAAATATAGTAACTTCCTTCAAGGCATTGATGGTACTGTCAGTACTTCTTGAAAACACTCTTTTCATAGGAATTTCAGAGAGGGATATGTAAATGGATTGGGGGAGCTGGAGACACTTGAAATTCTTGATAATCACAATAAAGGAAATGAGGAGGTACGCTAGCTGCTGGGAACAACATGGGGGACCCTGAGTTATTGTGCAGATCTTCCTTCCAGGGACTCTCTTACCACTTATCCCTCTACTGCCTGTCCCTGAGCTTCCCCAGCCGCTTTCCCAAACATAGGTATTGCTACCAAATTATCCACAACCCCGATAAAGCACTTTAAGTAAGTTTCATTGGGCCCCGTGTCTCTGGGAAGAACGACCGCAGTACCCCGCTAGGTAAAGAGGGCTTTAAGGCAGCGGTAAGGTGAACTGGGAGCCCTAGAGAGGCAGAGGCGGACGCTAAAATAAGGCAAACGCTACCTCTCCTCGCGAAGGCGAGGGAGGCAAAAACTGGGACTCCGTGGCCTCAGTCTCACTCGCATTTAACCAAGTAGTCTGGCACCGGTCACCAATGCTTCCCCAGGGTGCTGTAGGTGCGGCGGGCGTGCAACCCACGTCCACCCTGCCGCTCGCCAGGCCACCAGGGGCTTAAGAGGAGGAGTCCCTAAGCCTGCAGTGATGTGTGGGGGAATTCAAGTGCCTGTCCGCGGCCTCCTTTCCTTCCCTAACCACCAGCCCAATCCTCAACAATACCATTCCCCAGGGACTCTTCAGGGCGACCTGGGGACTAGGCAAGTAGCGCATCGCCCAGCCACGGGGCCTCGACCGCTAGCGCATTCCTACCTGCTCTCCCACTGCTGCTAGACGCCAGATGCCGGGC